CCTGCTGAGCCAGGCAGCACCCAGTGCTGTATTGCCCTGCATTGTAGCATCTACACGCTACTATCACTGTGGGTTATGTAACTATTTCGGGGGCTAGACTGTGAACTCCCCAAGAGCATGTGTCATTGCATCGCATCCACCTAACAGAGGGGCCCCATGAAAGGCACCAAGATAAGGAGACCAAGGTGGGGAGCTGAGGAAGCTGCAGAGAGGGACAGGTTAGGATCTGAAAGGCTGAGGCCATCCAAAGTCCAGGACCATATGGGGGCCCCCTGGAATAATGGCCTGGCCATCCAGGAAGGGAGGGGGTGGGCAGGCCCAGATGGAGGAAGTAGGAAGAAAATGGGCAAAATCCCAGGCTGTTCCCTCCTTTAGGGGTCACTTGGATGCTCACTGGCCCCATGGCAAGGCCTCAGGGCAAGCCGTGGGGTCAGGACATTTATGCTTTTTGCCCACACTTCTCCCTGGGCAGTGACTTGACTGAGCTAGGAGATACTTCTGCAGGGACCACGCAGACTGAAATGTTGTCCATAGGGACGAGCACGAATTCTCCAGGTATTTTAGAGGTAGAGGGGTCTTCAAGATAACTGAGTTTGATCTCCTGACTTTATGGCTGAGGAAGCAGAGGCCTGCAAAGGAGTGGCCTTGCATGAGACCACACCCTGGGGCCCAGGGAGGGCCTGCCCTTTCCTGAGCCCTGAAGATCTCTGAACCTGGGGGCTCTCTGGCTAAGGCCTTGACCCAAGAAGGCTGAGCATCTGCTTTCTCTGTGTGGTCTCCAGGGCTGGAGGTGCTGGCCAGGCCAGCACTGATAAGGAAGATCTGTTCCTATCTCCTCACAGGTGACGTAGAAGCATCAGTGTTTCCTGAGCTCTTATTCACTCGTCAGGCTTGTCTAAGCAGGGTGGGTGATAGTAGCCACAGAAAGGAACAAGACACCACTACCACTCCTAGAAGCTCACTCTAAGTGTGCAATGCTGAGGCAGCATAATTCAAGGAGACGTGATACGGAAAGGCTGAGGACCAAAGCTGTGGTGCCACAGGTAGTGGGGGTGACTGCCACTTTGCCTGCAGGAGTGAAGAGGCAGCTCTCCAGCTGCTTCCTGAAGGAGAGAGTTGGGTGGCCTTCCAATCAGAGGATATGCCAGGGATGAAGCCTCACTAGTGTGGAAGATGTCAGCCCCATGTAGGAGGGCCATTTAGCATGGCTGAAACAGAGGCCTGGCTATCAGACCAGGCTGGATGAGCCTGGGAGGGATAAGGAGGGGTGTAGGCAACGAGGGATGTTGGC